TTCGACGCCATTTGGATATCGCCCATTACCGCTCAAATTGAAAGTGAGACAAAATGGGGTGTAGCATGGCATGGTTATTGGCAGGAGAACATCTACGCATTGAACAGTCATTTCGGTACAGCTAATGATCTCCGAGCTTTCATTAAAGCAGCTCATGATCTCGATATTTGGGTTATGTTAGATGTTGTAGCCAATCACATGGGACCGAATATAAATGATACAGCCCAATACATTCCATTCAATCAGGATATTCACTATCATCAACCGTTGTGCTATATCACCGATTATTCGAATCAGACCCAAGTCGAACTTTGCACAGTTGGTGATCCAGACGTTCCTCTGCCAGATCTCAACACTGAACATCCATTTGTTGTTAATGCACTCAATCAATGGATAGAAAATATCACTCAAGAGTACAGTTTTGACGCTATACGAATCGATACTTTCCGTCATATTCGGAAAGAATTCTGGACAAATTTTACAGCTGCTTCTCGAGTCTATTCCGTTGGAGAAGTGGCGACATCCGAAACAGACTATGTCGGAAGCTATCAAAACTATACTGATGGCATGTTACAGTTTCCCCTCTTCTTTGTTCTTAATCAGGTGTTTCGAGATCAAGGTCGACAATCGATTCGTGAGCTAAAGAAGCAAGTTGAGCTGAATGAACAATATTTTAAAGATACAACACTATGTGGCGTCTTTTTGGATAATCACGATCAACAACGTTTCCTGAATCATACAATCACTGAGACGCTTATTCGAAATGCTTTAACATTTTTGATGTTCAATGATGGAATACCCATTGTTTATTATGGCACTGAGCAGGGCTTTGAAGGAAATCCTGAAGACACGTACGGATACACAGATCCTTGGAATCGAGAACCCTTATGGACCAGTAATTACTCTCAATCTCATCCAATCTATCAATTTATCAAACAGCTTAATTCTCTACGAGCAGTATTAAAAGCCAAGTATCCAGGATATTTCACAACACACCAACAAACCGTTTATCTTGATGATTCAACGTACATTTACTATAAAAATCCGGTTACAATTGTCATATCAAACGGTGAATTTGACACGCCGAAAAGAGTAAATATCACGGTGAATATGATAAATTCGATCGATTTTTTCACTAATAAAAAGATAACGGATCAGCAGTTAATCGTAAATAGTTGGGCGCCAATGATTATTATCCCAGAGAATATGATAAATTCAGCAAAATCTCTTTCATGTACCACTGTTTTATTCCTGCTGTTCGTTGTTCTTGTTCATGCGGAAAACCAAACACAAGATTATAAAACGGGATGAAAGTTATGTTGATGTTCGTTGATGTTCGCATACATACATGTTCACAGAATAATCATCAAATTGTTAAGTAGCCTTTATTGAGTTTGAATAATCATTAATAGAATCAACATAATCACATGAATAACTGTCAAATAGTGGTTCGGTACATTATAGGTTTATTTTTTTTTCGAGCTATGCTTTGTTCTTTGCTTTGTTGATTGCGCTGTTTATTCTTGATACACAGGCTCCTCGCGAACTACATACTGTCTCTCTTATCAACTTCTCATCTTAAACAAATATCGAAGTTTGTTTTACATAAGCAGCATTATTTAAAATATTCTTTCGGTTATATCTGCCGAAGAACTGTTTACTGAAATAAAATAATTTTTCATAAAATAAACTTAAAACGAAACGTAGGAGTGTGCTACTTAGACTCAGTTAGAATAATGATTCCTGAAATCGCTTTGAACGACACTGCATCGGTGAAAAGATTTAACAGCTGGCTAACATCCAAGATCGATGGATATGCCGAAGCTCAATGGAACATCACACGACGAAATATGAAAATATGATTCGCGTGAAACTCCTTTTCGAACTCACTCCCACACTGCCTACACCCCCACCTCCCACGATACACTGTCAGAAATAGCCAGATGTGTACTACAGAAAATTTGTGGAAGAGTTAGGGTCATATTCGCAGTAATGTCGTGTCACGAATGTTCGATTACTTTGAAACGTTCTTTTTCCTGTTGAATTACCTTTTTCAATAGGAATTCTCGATGTTGATGTATGCACTGCGTGTCTGCTATCATTTCAAGGTCGCGAAAGTGAAACTTATAATCAACCAGAATAAACGAAAAATCGAAATCGGATTCTGAGGATGGAGTATTCGCGAGCACAGCTGAAGGTGATAGAACAGCAGTAACAGCCGGTTGTGGATTCACTAATGAATATGCGAAAGAAGTTTGTTTTTATTACGAGCTTTCGACACAAACGCGTATCATCATCAGGCAACAAAAGAGCGACAAAGACTCAGGGCTTAACATCTGGCCATCTTTCATATATTATATAATGAACTTCTTTCATAAAAATTCTATTTATTGCGGAAATCTGCTTCATTCATGCATTGTCCTGTGCGGCTCCTTCGCTAGGATGTGGGTCCAGAGGACCCGACTGCTCCACTGACGTGCGGGGTGTGCTTTACCTTGGGCCGAGTGCTGATAGTTCGCGTGGGCTTGTCGGCAGATCGGGTGAGATTTCTGAAAGCTGGATGTGCGAACCGTGGATTTCGACACGATCTAGGTGGAAACGATTTGTGAGTCAAGGCGAGGGTATAGACAGATATGTATGTCTTGATAAGAAATTCACTCAATTTTAATTCAAGATCGACATCTCGATTACTCCCGAGCCTATCAGACCTACGCGCGGCCACCCTCAGGCAGAGAACCACTCGCTTCAAGGTCGAGAAAACTACACATGACACATGAGGTCCTCAAGATTGACTGCTAGTTGGCGAGTTATTCGGTAATATATGGATAACTGGACTTGATTTTGGTTCACACTAACTTAGGTGTGATCTGCGTCTCAGATATAGAAATTCAGTAGCAAGATGGTTAGCAGACACCGACTACATGCTAGCACCATCATTCTAGCTAGCTAGTAATGCATCTTAAGCAGAAATTTTTTTTGTAATACACCACATAAGGAGGATCGATAATATTGCCATTGATAAAATATCGATATTAGTGCATGCCTAATTTGAACTGATTGCCATTACTCTTCGCACCATCTATCGGATAATTTTGTGACGTGAAACTGCTCGAGTATTGCGAACAAATTTTTGATGATGATGCACAGTCAGTATATAGTTCAACTTGGATTCTGGGTGGATGGTTAGGCAGTAGCAAAATATATCTAATCCAATGTTAGTGAATTCTCTGTAATATTTATTCGTTATCTTCTGTTCTTTTTTCAGGAAGAAATAAACTTTTTGCTGCTGATGCCTTCTGTAGTTGATTTCATTTTGTACGCCTACCACAGCTGTAGTAACAGAAAAACTATTCCTTTCAAGCAGCAAAATCTATGCCATAGAGTGGCGAAATTATTTCACAATCATAATTTTACCGTGACTTATATTTTCCTATTATTTTCGTATAATCTTGTGAGTCACTGATCTCTTTATGATAGCCGATCTTTTGTTACCAAAGTAGGTAAATAGACTATGCTCTACACGACTAGCTATGTGAAGATCGATTTGGAAAATGTCGGTGTAAACGTGTTACATATACGGTGGTACTACCCACCTCTGAAGGTATTATTAGACTTGTTCCAGTTGAACGCGGCCTCCTTTCAGAAAATAAATCTTGTATTCCGCACATAAGAAATAATGTTTTAAGATGAACTCAGTCAACGTTCTAATTCATTTCCATAGCATCGGACAGTTTTACGGTTCGCAGACCTCAACAACTTCTCAAATAAAGAATTGACATCAGTGCGTACATGTCCGGTGGAATTACTCTTAGAGAACGAAATTCATCAATGCGAGTGTCGCGGTATTCTATATGATGACAACGAAATAATGTGTGATGAATGCAAGGGGGAAAAAGCGGACTCCTGGACTCCCATGGACTCCTATGGACTCCTGGACTCCCATAGACTCCTGAAATCCAGGAGTTCCAGAGCAAAGTGTTCTTTTTTGGGAAGTGATTCCCAAAAAAGAACACTTTGCTCTTGAACTCCTGAACTTCAGGAGTCCATAGGAGTCCGCTTTTTCCCCCTTGGATGAATGACATCGCAAACAGCGTATGCGATCTATAAAAATCTGAAATACAAGGTGATATTGATGTGCGGAATGTCAACAATACTATCCATTCTGAAAAGACATGTAGATAACAGACAATGAAATTTGTATTATATTATCACTAGCTTACGGATAGCTAACAACAACAGGGAAATACGTCTGTCCAGGCACAACCTTCCATACTTTCTTCCATCGTTAGTTTGCCGACTTCAAAGTCAATGACGAACATAGAGAAGAAAAAGTCATTTTCATCACGAAAGATTCTGTGGTGTTGTTCTCATAAAAGCAAGTGTTTACGGGAGTTTTAGTTTTTAAGGAGAACTAATTATTCAGTTTTATGAATTCTCTACAAACTGATTAGTCCGGTGAAAAAGGGTTTTTGACAGCCGGGAGATATGGCGCCTTCCTCAACATTCTTTGCTCTACCAGGCTATTGGTTTGGAAAATTTTCTGACCATTTTGTTTTTTCTAACCATTTTTGTTTTTTTCGAATTTTCATGTAAGACGCACGAAATTCGACGTTTAAACACTATTTTATTTTTGTTTTATTTATACATGGCTGACTCAAAAACACTGTTCTATACTCTACTCTAAACGCCGAACGCGAAAATCACTGCCCCGAATTTTCAGAATTAAATGCGACAAAGTTATACGCATTTTTTTGAAAACTAGGGATTTTTCGAAAAAGGAGCCCCTCTCAATATTTTTAATTTTTTTCCAGAAAGACGTTCACTAAAAACACTACAAAGGTGATACTCGAGATCCTTGGCTTTCGCTCTATACAGCCATGTATAAATAAAATGAAATAGTGCTTAAACGTCGAATTTCCTGCGTCTTAGAAAAAACAAAAATGGTTAGAAAAAACAAAATGGTCAGAAAATTTTCCAGACCAATAGCCTGGTAGAGCAAAGAATGTTGAGGAAGGCGCCATATCTCCCGGCTGTCAAAAACCCTTTTTCACCGGACTACTCAGTTTGTAGAGAATTTCAAGGGCTATCCAATGGCATTCTTTTAAAAAATATATAGTTTTTCATTAAGACAGAAAAAATCGCTAGAATTAACATTTACGCTGACCGTTGACTTCGACTTTGGTCGCAAAACTTTCTGTAACAAATTTGTGTATCCCAAACTTTTCACGACGATCCCAGATAGTACATTAAGAGTACTATCTACTGCAAGTAATCCGACTTCAGCGCAAGTGCATAATAACGCGTCGTAAACGCGTAAAATGGCGTCGAG